ACTCGAACGCTGAAATGGGCGGGGAATGACATCCATTTGCGCTACCACGTCTCCCCCCCCCCCCGAAGGTTTCGGTCCCCGCATCGCATCGCATCGCGATGTTCACTAAAAGAAAATACACATAGCAAGATGGGACCATCCGACCATCGGTGTAGGCTGCAGCCTGGCCATTCGCGTCGTCCCTGGTACAAGGGGGCAAGAGGAGAGTAGACTGCCTGTGGCAGCGCGATGCAACACCACCTTAGTCGAACTAGCTAGGTGCAGGCGTCAGGAGACCCAGAGATTGGGGCCCGAGTCGTAAGCCGAGCGGTAGCTGGGACTGGGTTCACCCCCATCCCTGGAAATTCTCGCTGGTGATGCACGTTGAACGTCGGGGGGCAGGTACCTCAAGTATCCGAACTCAGGCAGGGGTAAAAGCCAAGCTAATTTGGGAGACGATTGATGGGGGACGAAAGAGGAATACGGCCGAAGCTTTGAATGGAGGGGCCCCTCTTCTCGGGTTATCCAAGTTCCTGGTCTGTTGTCAAACAAGGACAGGGCTCTTGTATCTTGAAAGTAACGTGGGCACGACACCACTATTTCACCTGTCAGCGTACCTAACTCAGTTAACAGGAGTTGCAGGCTACCTAGATGCAAGGGGTAGGGTGGCACTGCACATGCCCAAGGGACAGCCTGCGGGCAGTGTGGAAGCAGTGGGCAGTTCGCCATGAGCCAAGACTGCCCTCCCGTCCAATCGCAAACGACCCGATTCTCCGTATGCATGGCCAGGTGTGTGTGCTTCGAGTTGCTCATGACTCAACGTGCAATAAATTCCTTTCTGATGCAAGCAGTTCTCAATCAGGAAAGCCATCAAGAAGAAGCCTTCAACATGTTCGGCGCAGACAGGGGCGAGGCCTCGCCTGGATTCTGACCTGACTCCCGCGGTTCGTGGTTTTGTAACTTTTCTGGCAAGTAATCAGCGGGTGCGACCTGTAAGCTGTCGTCGGGCTGATATCTGACCAAATTAGGCGGCGAATGTGGGGGTGTCTTGCCGCATGAAGATTGTCTGAGGAAGGGCCATTGCGATCCTGACCACATGCGATGAGCTTCAGAGTGGTTAAAACATCCATCACAGCTTCTCGTCGACACTCAAGGTCATGAGAACATGCAAATCGAATTTCATTAAGGTACGTATCAAAGGGGGGTAATGGGTATGCTGTGCAACCTGATCGAACCATAGCGTGGATGCCCTGTCATCGTCGGCGCCCTTCATTGCATCAAGGAATCCCCCAAAACGAATGTAAGTGAGATAATTCGGTAGGTATAATCGGTAAACTAATGTACCACCCCGGTGGCCCAGCCCCTCGAACCTTCAAGTTCGAAGACGTTTTGGGTCTGCTGATCTCATGTAAGCCCTGATCGCTGAGACTGCAAATGAATAAGATATCTCACCATCAAAGAACCTGTTGTTCAGATGTCGAGGAAGTTTGGCGTGTCAAAGTGCTCAGGGACCCATGCACCTGCTCTCTTTACAGAGGCGCCGGTTTCCTTTGGCTCCAGGGACACGGCAATGGTGCGTGGGGGTGTCACGGTGTGGTAATCACCCGTGTTCGACCCAGCCTGGCCCTTGACTGTGCTAGAAGGCGATTCGGCACGGAATCCGCCCGCAGCCTGTTCCTTGCCGGACGTCATCTCGATATAGGGGGCGTTACAAAGTTGTAGTGAGTGAGTGTCAGTAAGATAGATGTGATTTCTCGAGAAATAGACGTCAAGAGGCTTAAGTTTGAGGATAGGGAGGGAAGCTGGTGGTGGATGGCATCGTGTCCAAAGGCATGCCATGAAGACCAGTCTTTATAGCTCTTCCCGCTTCATGACCTCTGTCTCTTTATTCCTCGTCAGCAACTATTGTCCTTTCTTTTTCAACAAGAAACGACGATATACAGAGACATGCCTTCGACCAAACCCCTGTCGCCGTGTTGTCAACTGCCTCTGGCCCCTGGGATTGCTGCCGGTGTGCCTGTCAGATGGGTCAGGAACAGGGGAAGGGGGCTCAGGCTTCGCCTCGAGGCTGCTCGTCCGAGTGGTTCTTTCTCACCCCTACTGCTGTGCTCGACTGCGTCTCGATGTGCTTGGAAGTCGCCAATACCCTGTCCTGGACCTTCCTGAACAGCGCTCCTGGTCATCTTTCCAGGTATTGGATGTACTTTTCACGGATCAATCCACCGCAATCTCCTGTCGCTTCGTTTTGCACACGACGCCCAGTTACTTCCAGGGATGTAGCACGCGCGGCCGACCCTCAATCCTCGCCCTCAGTCGTCTAGCTGGCCGGATCTCACCAATATCGAGCCGGCCGGATTGGATCCTGGTCTTGACCTAGAAAGAAAATGAGGCTGACAAGAACCTTGGTCCGGAAGCGACAAGCACAATAGCCTAGGATCCATGAGGATGGAAATGAAAGCAGTCAAAGAACAAGTCGTGGCGTCGAAACACGCTTCTCGCCTGCAGCGAGGGCAGTGTAGGGGTCTTAGTTAAGCCCGGGGAACGTTGCTGCATATTCCCCCCCCCCCTCTCCCCCGAAGCCCCTCGCAGCTGCCCGGAAGACCAGAGTGCATATCCCTGCCCTGGCTTATGTTAACAATGGTGCTGCAATACGGTAACGGGAGATCTATTAAGTGTCGGCTAACCTAGGTATCCTGGTTTGGGTGGGGTACGGTGTGTCCTCCCATTGCAAAGATAGAATTCATGCCCCAGCGGGGACCACACGATCGGTCAGGGGGGGCACGCTAAAGGCCTCTACCTGGTGAATCTTGAAACATTCACAACATCCGGACCACTTCTCCAGCCAGATACCTCAATTACCTAACTACGACAAGAATTATGTGGATGGCGTTGGCTCACATATCAAGGTCGCCCATTATACTGTACGTAGATACTCGGGACGTCAGGATAGCAACGTCAGCCTGTGCATGCATTATACCATAGTCGATCAGATCCGCGTTGTCGTGTAGTGTAGACGAAGAATTTTCATGCCAGGGAAATGAGATGCAGGATTCAGTGATGGCCGCGACACCACAAGACCTCACTAGGAACGACCACTTTGCCAAGAAACTGGCGACTTCCTGGGCGGGCACCCAGTGCCTTCTAATTTCCTCCGGCTCCTGCGAGGCGGTCAAGTCAGCGCATGATGTGACTCTTCATCCAATACTTCTGCAGGCTTTTCCAACCTGACACGACCTCTAGCTTCGCCCCGTAGACGCTGCGGCAGCGACTCGCCGCCGGGGAACGTGATTGAGTACCCGTCCCCAGACGCACGTCGCCCACCTTTGGGGTCGATCATGGGGCGTTCGGGAGGCCTGCAACGTGTGACACTATCACAAACCAGGTAGGCAATGGGCCTGACGAGCCCGGCAGTCTCCCTAGTGCCTGCGCCGACCACTACCGGAACAGGGTAGTACAATGCTCTGCACCCCCCTCAGCTGTAGCTCTAAGGCCATGTCCTTTCTTTTTCCCGATTGTCATGTCATTCCGTCCAGGCGGAGGGCTATCTCATCTCAGGTCTTCACTGGCAATATCCGCTGCAGAAGACGATGCCCTTCCAAGACTGCCAATGAATTCTCTCCACGTCTCAGCGTCCATTATTAGACTGCTTTCCGCATCCCTTGGCGCCGCTCGCTAGTCATCCGGGGGTACTGTGGCCGCTTGCCGGCATGGTTTTGCCACCCAGTTGTTCCCCCGTGCAAAGCAGAACCAATTTCACTGACCGCATCACCACGCCTACCTCAGCAGCGGAGGAGTGTCTTTATGCACTATGCCGCACCAAGCCGAAGCCAAGCTGAGTGTACGGAGACACATAACAAACTCATGGAGTCAGCCCCCTGGGCTAGTAACGACATTTTCTTTTATCAGACATGCAGCGATGACATCACTTCTTACTTCGTGATATGAAATGAAGCTTGACTTGAAACCAGCACACATGGTGTGGTTGACATGCTCAAATTACGCACAAAGTCATGATGCGCTCGAATACGAGGGTTTCATTGCAATTGTGTGCTTCAGAAGAATGGCGACGCTGCGTTGTGGTCAAAGCCCCGTGGCCGGCGTTCCTTGATCGATAAATCTCCTAAAACTTTCGCGAAATTTCATTGTCGACCCTGTCACCAAATACTGAACGTCAACCGAGGCTCCAAAATACCCTGCCCTCTGCAAAGTGAGCCAGCACTTTGTTGAGCGCATACGGGTCTCATGGCTACCAGTTTTGTTGTCGTTGAATAAGGAATCACGTGCCCAGACAAGGGGCCATGTACACCTCACGCTTTGACTCTACTCCCCGGACAATTGCTTACCCATGCGTGTCTGACAGATCCTTCTTCAGACGAACCATGAGCCACTACTGCCAGATGGTGCCGGGGTCTTGTGCAAGTCATTCAAGAACCCCAGATGTAGGGCTGAACCTTCCCGCCCACACTCGGTAAAAGCCATCCCATCAAGGAGGTGACCTGCTCCTGCACCTGATCTAAAGGGCGACGGAGCTTGGCGATGAGCTTGTGGTCGTAGCCTACAGAAGAGAGGTCCTCTCACTGCCGTCGGCAAGGGCGCAGGGCAATGGCTCCCGAGTCCGGCATTGCTGGGATTGAACCAGACGCTGGCGCCACATCACTTGCCAATGTACTAGTTTGATTGGGAGTGGGGGTTCTCCTTCCATAGAATAGTCGACGTTCGATATTGTTTTGTGAGCCCTACGATGCTCGCGAGCGGGTTCTGGGGGAGCTTTCGTCATGAGCTCCTTGCGGCTTTAGGTCGGAGCGAAGACTCATGAGAACAGCTTGTTGGGCTCCAATGCTGTCGATGCCTGAGCGCGCCTTCATGTTGTCGCGAGGGGATGTGGAGGGACAACGATGGCGAAAGTCGGAGGCAATTGAGACCCCCACTTCTTCCGGAGGGGCCTCGGCCCACTGAAGGATGCCTTTTAAGACAGCCAATTGTAGAGAGCAAGGAGAAAGAACAGACTTGCCACAGCGTCAGTTTTCAGCCGGGCACTGCTAGAGAAACAGGAAAGCTGGCGAATCGGGGCGACGAACAGCCATACAGGCTGTTGTCAGAGCCTCTAGTGGCACGCGACAAGGGGGGCGGGGGGCGACAAGCCCTGTATTGCCACGATAGATCACTTCGTTGGTCTTCTTTAAACGACGGAATGGAATCAATTGTTGTCGGATAGGCTGTCGTTGTTCGCGCACAATCCACAGAAAGTGCAACCTCGAAGCCGAAGATCCTCATGGTGTTGTAGGATTGGCTCGCAGGAGCAGTCAGGTTCAGCTGCTGAGCGCGGTCGGCGTTTGTCGCGGGTGTTTCGATTGGGGCGTTCTCTGCTGGCTAGATGTCAGCACCCAGGAAAAGAAAGGAGAGTGCTCATCAGAGGTCGATATATAATCATGGCACATTTCCAGGGTCTCGTTTGCCATATCGACGACCGTTGTCGGTCAGTTTTCAAGAGATGCTCGAGATGTTGAATCCATGGTGCACGCGCCGCGCCCTGGCTACAATTGCGTCGCCTGTAGTTGACACTCGACGTTCTCGTTGTCGATGCTTGCCCACGGTAATGACCGCCCTGACTTGGGGAGCACCTGGAATTTACGCACCGTATTCAGAGACTCGTATGCATGCAATTGCACCCGTCTTTGCTTGTTCCAAGTCTGTTGCTGCCTCCGATGGTATCTGGTTGTTGGATGGCGTCCGACGTAGATGAAGCTCGTCGGAAAGGAGCAGGTATAGGTCGGCACCTTCTTAAGTCTTTGGTCGAGCAATAACTTACCATGGGTGTTGTTGGGCTTGTAGGTTAAAACCACGTGCAATAGGCGTGAGGTTCTAGCCACCTAGTTCCTCAAAAGCCACTACCTCACACTTTGGACCTTGTTCTATGCTGCCATGTCGATGGCTTGAGTCCGAGGATGCCTGTTGCAGAAGGCTGATGGTTTCGAGCACGATTGAGCAGATGGATGGAAGGTTGAAGGCGCTGGCGGCTGCTTTCATCAGTTGGAGGCCTGTAGCGCCCTGCTTGCATGCTAGGCTCCACCCAGATGCGTCGCGAGATGGGTAACACGTTTCTCCCTTCTCCAAGAATCACTGGAGTTGTACGAGGCGTGTCGGGTTCGTGCGATGGCGAAGTAGGCACCCGTTGGCCCAGTCTTCTGGGAAGGGGCACACGTCCGAGTCGATCGAGGCATCGTCGTACTGCTCGCAACCGTCAGTCGTTGCGTTCTGAACACTCCTGGGCAAAGGCTTGACGCAGTACAAACAGGAAGAGGCTTGACACCCTCGCGACAGATGTTCCTCACCTTTCGACAAGCGGGCGTCGCTGTTAGATCGGTCTAGTTTGACGCTACGAGACGACGAGAAAGACTTCTTTCAACGTCAAGGCAGCCGCCACTGTTCGCACGCAGGAAACGAAGAGTACGAGATTTGTGCAAGAGAGGAGGTGGACAACATCGACCTTCTGGCAATAAAACGACTGGATCCAGTCTGGCACACATTGATTTGGGCAAGTCAGGTCAAAGGGGGAAAAGGCTGGCCGGTTCAGCGGCTGGTCGGGGCGTTGATGGCCACACCACGCAAGGCAGACAGCCTGAACAGTTTTGGTTGGCGGCTCTCTTCTGCCTTTGGTAAGGTGACGGTGAACACGTCAGGAATTTTTTTTCCATTGGTTTCTCTCGCCCTCTTTCTCTCTGCATCCAAGCGGCCTCTCAGTGTCCTGAGCCTGGTCCGACAGCCCCCAACCTTCTCAACAGGTCCGTCGACACGGATGCGAAAGCTCAAGCTGTGAAGATTTGTCTCTTTTCTTTTCCCTCCCTCCTTTCAGCCGTTGAACAGCATGCCGAGTCACAAGGCCGATCATCTCCCCTTGGTCAATCTGAAGTCACTTGCGGTGCAGGACATCTCAGCGCCTAGGGTCCCTTGGCAACCCACCGCAGGTACTCCAACGTCACTGAAAACGGAACGCCCCACGAGCGCTTCAAGCAATGGGGGGCCGGCAAGTCGCAAGGGCTAACCCCTTTCTGCAAGGCAGGTCAGGAAGACCAAGATGCACATGAGGTGATGGCCGCAGCCCGCGAGGCCTTCTCCTGGCCATTGCCCACATTTTTGTTGGGCTTCTTTCGCGACCCAGCGTGACAACAATCCAGTTTCCGTGTTCAGTACAGGCCTCTGACGCCTCGCCCCCTTTTTTTGACGTGCATTTCGTTCGACGAATAGGCTGCCACATTACGCACTGCAGAGAATAGGGTCAAAAGTACATCTCTAGCGAACGAAAGCACCCGCAGACGTCGAATGCTCCTCGAGCTCAGAATGTGCAGTAAATATCATCGACTCTCTGTATGTTGCTGGGTGTCTATACACTTATCTCTTCTTTTGGAGCGTATGTCACGCCCCCACAAGCCTGTCAGGGACGGAAGCAACTCAAGTCTGGGTCTCACAGGACCGCAATCGTCACGACGTACATGGTACCAGCCCTTGCCGCCCGATGTCATCTCTTTCTAGCAGCCCTGATCAACCGGCCTAAAAGTTGGCGTGTATTGTACCCTAGTCACCTTAACATTCATGACCAGGACTAGGGTCCTCGAAATCCTCGAAAAGGTTTGTGCTCTGACAGCTGAGGTACGTCTCTTTGTTTCGCCGTCAGGGTATTATGAAAGCTGGGTTAGATTGCCCGCCCCCCTATAATTCCCCTAACTTCCTTGCACGGCGTCCGCGACACCGGCGTGCTCACCGCTCATAATACACTCTCTGTAGTCGGGCGAGGAAGCGGGTCTTTGACCGGCTGGCGCTGTAGAACAGAAGTAGCAACCTCGATGTGACCCCTCCCTCCCTGCTCGAACCCTGCACTCATCCGAGTCCATAGTCTCCCGTCACAACAGCCAGATCCAAGCGGCCGTAACCAGGGCATTCGAGCCAGGCACTTGAGACTTTCTTGGTGAGAAGAGAGGCTGTCAGGCAATAGCCATCCCGGCCTGCTTTGTTGGTTGAGACAGACGCCGCAGGAGCACCCCTCGAACCCAGCAACATCCCCACGCCCCTCGAAATCAGAAATCACCTCCATTCTCTCAGCACGCCATGCGCTTTCCTTGACGACTACAAAGAATTCATGCGAGAGACGGGAAACAAGAAAAGGCATAAGGTTCCTTCAGAAGTTGAACGTGTGGAACCGGGGGGGGGGCTCGCCGCCAGGTTCGAAAGGGACAACGACCCTGTCGCTGCTCAGCCTTGGCTGTACTAATTTGTAGTACGTTCATGTGTTG